GTTTTTGCTTTAATGTGCCCAAAAGAGAATATATTACCCCGTACTTAAATAAAAAGTGCTTACTTAACATGAGTGCTAGAAGGGAGCTTCAGTACGCTTCTACAGTGGATAGGGTAATATGGAACAAAAAGCCTGAGTACCTATTTGAAAAACTCCTATGGATCAAAGACATTTCACATAGAAACCTTCGTACGAACTCGTTAAACATGTTAAGTATGCCAAAACATAAAACAACGCGGTACGGAGGATGTTTCAAATTTGTTGCAGCAAGGACATGGAACGATTTGCCCCCTCCTATGAGAAATAAAATGAGTACGGATAGCTTCAAAGCTAAACATAAATTAATTAGCATTGCTGAAGCGGCAAATTGCTGCAGAAAACTTGAAACATACCTACTGGAAATACATAAACTTAAGAGACTTTTTTAACATTATGATATAACCCTTATAAAACATCCCCGTGTATTATAAACTGAACAATCACGCACACACACACACACACACACACACACATACACACACACACACACACACACACACACACACACACACGCACACACACACACACACACACACACACACACACACGCACACACACACACACACAAACACACATACACACATATAAGTTCAAAGAAAGGAAAGTTTATTTTATATTTTCTATTTCTCGTGTTGTTTTTGAATCTGTTGTTAGCTCATTTCGTAATGGTTGTTTTATGCATATTTTTAAATGTTTTTATTTTGTCTTTAATGTTTTTAATCTTTTTTTTTTGTATTTGCGATTTAATATTTATATAATATTTTTTTTAATTAAAAAAAGTATTTTATATTGATATAATATTTAATTACTTTGTACATAGTTTAAAAGTATAAGTCAGGTAAATGGGAGCCTGCTACTTTGGACTCCCGCACAACACCTCAGGGAGGAGGGAGCGGCTGAAAAACAGCTCTGTATGAGCTCTGTATCTCGTTACAGACAAAGCTGAGCCGTCTCTTTTTGTCTCAAATATTTATAATGTTCTTTTGTTTTAACGTGAATGTAACTGTGTGTTTTAGAGGCAATAAAATTTATTATTATTATATGATCACTTATATTATCACAAAACTATAATATTATAAATATAAATACAATCTATATAAATAATATTATTATTTCGGCTATTATCCACCGCGGCGAGGAATTCTAAGCCATCGGTGAAGTTAGGCATCCAAAGATAGGAACCTTCTTACTATTCGAGCCGTATTTAATAAGGCCGATTTTTGAATTAATGCTTTCAGCCATTTGCCCAAACCTAACTTGGACAGATAATCGTCCATATTTTTACCAATAAGTCCATTGACTGATACAACTATTGGTACAATAATAGTAGAATCAACGTCCCACATAGCGACAATCTCATGAGCCAAGTCGATATATTTTATTTTTTTATCATTCTCTGCTTTTACGAGATTCTCGTCATGAGGAACACTGATATCCACTATTATTGCCTTGCGTGTAGTTCGGTCTATCACCACAATGTCAGGTTTATTTGCCACTATAAACCTGTCTGTGATAATTGACCGATCCCAGTACAGCGTGACACTTCTATTTTCAAGGACTGGCTTTGGTTCATACTTATAATATGGAACATCCTGTTGAGTAAAGCCAAATTTAATGGCAAGCTGTTGGTGTATTATTCTAGCTACTTGGTTATGTCTGTGCAAATACTCACCATTTGATAGTTGTGAACAACCGGAAATAACATGTCTGAGGGACTCTCCAGGGTGGTGACATGCGCGACATACGTCAACTGTGCCGTCCCTCAAAATGTATTTTCGGTAGTTGTTAGTTTTAATTACTTCATCTTGTATTGCACAGATAAAACCTTCAGTTTCTGAAAAAAGGTCACCAAATTGTAACCAATGTACTGATGCAACCATGTCTACATAAGGATTAGTCAATGCTTTAAAAAATCGACCATGCAGTTGTTTGTCATTCCAAACCTTTTTGCGTTCATCTCTATTCATAGTATGAGGCCTCTGCCAGTCCTTTGCCGACATATTAAGCGGGGTTAATGATTTGTCATTAATCACTACGTCATTATGAATGTGTGATGTGTCTTTTTTTTTAATAAAATAGTCTCTGAGGTTGTATACTTCACGGTTGTGTAGGTTTTTAATGTTTAATAAGCCCCGTCCACCATCTTTTCTTGGAAGATACAACCTCATGACAGATGATCGTGGGTGGTGCATTCTGTGCGTAGTCATTAATGTACGGACTCGTCTATCTAAGTCATCCAATTCCGTTTGAGACCATCTTGTAACGCCAAAAGTATATAGAAGGCTAGGTATTACCCAGGAGTTATATGCTCTAATTTTGTTTCCGCCGGATAAATGACTTTTGATAACTTTTTTTAATCTTGACATAAATTTTACTTTTGAATTTTCTTTAATATTTTTGTCATTAATTCCTAGCGCTTCTGCCATGCCCAAGTATTTATTGGTTTCTGTTTCAGAAAGAGAACTGAAATATAAGTCATTTGTAATTGCAAAATTATTACAATCTTTAATTTTGCCCCTATTTACGTTGATGACAGCACATTTATCTATTCCAAATTCCATTCTAATATCATTGTTGAAACCATGTGTTAATTTCTACAATAATAGTAGATTACTCTCTTTTGATGTGAATAGTTTGAGATCATCCATATAAAGTAGATGAGAGATCGGTGAGTTTTCTTTTCGAAACCGAAACCCTAATCGGGATTCCTCAATAGCAGTGCTTAAAGGATTCAGGGCTAAACAAAACAAAGTTGGGCTCAAACTATCGCCCTGGAATATACCCCGTTTAATATTTATAGAGTCTATCGAACTACTTTGCCACTCACCTGGTAGATTTAGGACAGTGTTCCACTGACCCATTACTTTACTTAAAAACTTACAAATTTTGTCATCTATTTTATATATTTCTAAAACTCTCCTTAGCCATGAATGTGGAACAGAGTCATATGCCTTTTTGTAATCCACCCAAGCAGCGGACATATTTTTGCGATTACGAAAGACTTGTCGGCAAATAGCTGTGTCAATGAGAAGAAGTTCTTTACAACCACGTGACCCTTTCCAACATCCACTCTGTGCAGTTGAAAGAATGTTATTATTTTCCAAATGTTTATAGATCTTCTTATTTAAAATTGCAGTTATTAATTTGCATACAGTTGAGAGGCAATGTTATAGGACGGTAATTTTTAGGTTCCATGGTGTTTCCATTTTTATATAGTAAGTGGGTAATACCAGTTGTAAGAAGTCTCGGGAGCTCACAGCACTCAATGGCTTCTTGAATCTCTGCAGCCAAACGCACATGGCTACTTGTTATCCATTTCAGCCAAAAGTTGTGTATACCATCTGGTCCAGGTGATTTCCAGTTGTGTGATCTACGAGTAATTGAGTTTACATCTTCAGCAGTAATTGAAATAGAACCCATGTTAGCCAAATTAGAAAACTTACGTTCGGTTGCACGAATCCATTCGCCTTCATTATGAGAAACTTCGTTAGACCATATACTTTTCCAAAAATTTAGACATTCATTTAAGCTTGGGCTGCCATGAGTACAACTATTAGTTGTAGTGTTCTCCCAAGACCGATACACCCACTTTTGGTTACTTTCGAATGTGCGATTCTGGAAGTACCGTTTAGATCTTTCTGAATATCGTCTAATACGGTTGGCCCATGCTTTTAACTTTTGTTTTTGTGTATCAATGAATTCAGTAATTTTATCCGGAAAATGGGGATCTGATTGGTTAATATCATTTTCATTAGCGATTTGATTTACTAAAGTAATTATTTTTTTACGTCTGTTACCTGTTTGGTAGCTTATTAATTTTCCTATAATTTTGCGAGTATTGTCAATTCGTTTTTGAATTCTTTGTTTATATTTAGGTTCTGTATTATTTTTCTTAAAATTTTGTGCTGAAATGACAGGAATTTTCATTATCATACATATAGCATGAACACAACAGTATAGAAGAGACATAGTTTCCAAAATAGAGTTACTTTTTTCAAAATAATCTTTACATAGAATATTCATTGATGCTACTGTTAGAATAGTTTTTTTGTTGTTTAGTGAAGTTTAGTTAGTTTCGGTCTATTTTCTATTGGTGTATTTTTATATTCCAGAAGGGAACATTCGAAAGTCCTTTTCATATATTCGCTGTCTTGGGAACTCACATCTATATCAAAACAATTTTGCTCTACTTTTTCGTTATTTAAGTTAGTAATATTTATATTATGGTTACTGTTATTTACATTTAAGTCATCAGTCTCACCTGGAAGTGTTCTTGGGAATCAGGAATTATTTAGTAGATGTTGAGTACTCACTGCAAAGTTGTTCAATTAATCTGTCGTCCAAAATCTTACGACTTAGAATTACACGTACTTGATCTGAAAGTCTTTGGGCAGTTAAGTTTGTTAGGTTGGGTTGTAGCTGTTGGAATTCAGACAGCATTTTAGGGCGATAAGATGTAAGATTGGTTCCTCCTTTGGTAGCCTTATAGTACGCGCGCATAACACTTATATTTAATTCCTTAGTGCAGCGCATGCGTCGTCGCACTACACCATCAGTAGCGGGGTCCTCATGTAGGATGTTAATTCCTGCAGGTCCCAAGCCAGCCGCTGGCGCTCTTCGTCCATTATTATTATTATATATATAGGCAGTAACTAACCTTCAAATTTATAAAAAAATCTTGAAAACCGTATGTTATCGTAGCTAACAACATATCAAAATTGTGAATGGTCCCAATTAAATTATATTTGTGTTTTACTTTTACGATTCTCTGTTGTTTGATGTTCCTCCAAAGTATTAAAAACGAAAATTCTTTATCTTACTCTATGAATCATCGTGGAGATTAGTTTGATCTCTTTCTAACTGCGAAGGGTTTGTAGTAGTTGTGATTTTGACTTTGGCGACAGCACATTATGACTAGGCATAAATGAGTTTTGATCTGCAAAGGACCAAGCTGGTGGCAGATGCTCAATAAAAGGGACCGGAGACCTTTTGCAATAGTTTTGAGGCTATTGGGACGGTATCGATATTGCGACTACCAACATACCTGCCCAGCTAAGAAGGTACAATTAATAAAATTAGTATGGACAAATATAAATAGTTTATGTTAGCTGGCTAATTATAGAACGATCTGTATCCATTGTTGTACTTATAGAGACCACTAATGATGTTTATATTACATGTGGTGAAAGGAACTTATCGCAGCTACGACGGTGTTATTAGCTTCGTGTTTGTCAACCGAATCTGTGAAACTTTCGCTGGAGCACGTTTGTCGAGTTCCAACGGTTTCTTTTAGTTTTGGTCCTGTACATCTGTCAATGGTCATGTTGGGTCACCCCGTGGGATTATGAACTGCGTATTGGTTGTCACATTCAGGTATATGGAATCCAAAATCATTAAAAAAACTTAGACCAACAAAGATCGGTAGACTTAAGGTACGTGAAAACCGTTCTTAGTTTTCTATTGTAAGAATACACACTCATGCAGACATCTACACTTAGAAATATGTTATTGCTTGTTTGTGTGAATCGCGTTTTTTTTAGAATAAGGGATCCAGTTCTTAGAAGACGAGGTTCTTTTGTTTGTTAATTCAACGAGGTTCCTTTGAGAACGAGCTTATCTTTAGAATTAGAACCCAATGGGTGATGGTTTTTCCGTACCACATATTAAAAGAAGTTAATGATCTTGTAAAAATCCTCATAGTATAATATATATATATATATAAATATATATATATATATATATATATATATATATATATATATATATATATATATATATATCTACGATATGCCGATCCACCTCACTAATATAGCTGAAATTTGTTAATATTACCAATGTAAATATTGAATGCAAAAAAACAATTAAATAAGGAAAAATATTTGTTATGCATCCGCTTAAATGCTTGCCTAATAATTGACATGATCTCATTAACAAGGTCCGGGTTACTGAGTTCTGCGAAATATACAGTCAACACAGTGCGTTGATAACTCTCGCCAAGTATATATGTGTCGACAATCTTTTTGTCAAATCAATTGAAATTACCTTCTCAAATTAAGTCAAAGATGGCATCTAAAATTGGTGAGTCTTATTTATTAATTACTGATATTTTATAATTTGTACATATTGTTATAGAATAGGAATTTCATTAAAGCGCGCATTCCTTCTGATGGTAAGTGGATGCTTTGGTCCATAGACATCTGCATCTATCCTCGATTAGGAATCAAAATCCAGATGTTTTGTCAGTCCTGAGACTAAGATGGAATACTTCGTGTCCAGTGAAAAGTGTTTTCTATACTCACCATAGGAAACAGCAGCATTGAGCTGATATTTTACGCTGATATTATGTGAGAGTATGGTGATTCCCCGGTCGAGCCAACCCATTTGTGCTACAGCCATAAATTTTTAATTTTTTTTGTTTCATATAAAACAAAAAAAGCTGCAGCTTTGCTATACCACGAATCTCTTTTGACTAAAAATTCACGCTGCAGTGCGCTGCTGCAGCACAAATGGATTTGCTCAACCGGGCTAAACCATTGCCACGATCACGTTCATATGTTGGACACCCTTTTTAAGGGTAAGGAAGCGTTTATCGTAATCCTGAAAGAATCCTTTATTTTTTAATCAAAGACAAATGTATACACTAAACATAGTATAAAAAAGGGAAGTACCCGTAAATATATTATAGCCTATATCAAATCTTTATAAAAGACGAAATACAGTACAAACATATATGTAGACATCCCACGGGTGGGCACATCTCTTTTCTGGCGTCTTTGCTTTTCTGGAAGCATGGCAGACCTTTATTAGCCCCGAAAACAAATGATCTGCCACGCTGCTTTAATGCGTATTAACAGGCTTTTTACGTGCTCCAAATGTTTTTTTTTTAAATTTCAGATACATGCAGGTATCTTCACAATGTTTTCACTTAAAATTGCTATTAACAACCACATTGACAGGTGTAGTGGCGGTGTAAGGTGTAAGTGTATATCCACTACCCTATAAATCACCCCGTGGGTGTCGCAAGAGGCATCAGAAGGAAACAAATCAGGAGATGGGCATGGATGAGCAGCGTCTTCCTAATAATGACATAAAATAAAAAAGCTGCTGTTCGCTCGCTAAGTGTGGCAACTATGGCAAATATCCAACCTCTTTGAGGCAATCTGTTGTCTATGTATTACCTTAAAGAAGGTTGTCTAAACTATGTTCAGCAGTGGACTTTAACAAGCTGTAACGGTAATCACGTTGATGCCGTGGTCAAACTGTCCGTTGTCTTGTAAAAATTTATATAAAATAAGTAAAATAAAGTTACAACGTATCCACGTCCCAATGCTCCTTTAATATCTGAGAGGGTTATAGATATTAAAAAAGAAAATATCCTCCACGCTGCCCCAATACTTGTCAGTGGACTATCTTCGATGTATGTATGTGTCTAAGATGTATATTTTTAATTTCTCAGACATGCACGATGTTTTCCTTCAACGTCAAGCACGCGGTAAATCGTCACTTAAAAATGCAATTAACAAGAAAATTGATGCCGGATTCGAACTCATTTGTACTATCTTTTTAGCATGTCTCACTAAAGATGTAAATACAATATTTATCTCTATTATTTATACCAATTACATAACCTTTAACCTTTTCGTTACTTACAAAATGGCGGTCAGAAGGTGCTAATAGATTTGATAAAGAACTGTGATTGGGGCTAAAATATTAAAGAGACATGATAATTTTTCAATGTACCTAATTTAAATGTTTCATTATTATGTGTACCTATTTAGACATTTAGACGGAGTTTTTTCTATATCGGATTATACTGTCCGATACTGGACGGGTATCTTTTCAATGAGTCCTAAATAACCATTTTGTTTACTAGATGTCACCCGTTGGAACTGAAGTGAAGTTTTTTGTTACACGTCATATAATTGAAGAGTTGCGTTAATACAATTTTATCGGTTTCCAGAGTATTAGATACCTAAATATAAAATAATGCCTCAGTGGTTTGTTGCTTAACGTTTTTCACATATTTCTACTTTTAGGAATATCTAATATACGTGGTAGAGCCACGCTGCAGCTATATTATGTTTATAGCACGAATGGGTCGGCTCGACCGGGGAAGGACCACGCTCTCACAGAATACCAGCGTAAAATAGCAGCTTAATGCTGCTATGTTTCGTATGGTGAGTGTAGAGAACTGGATACCGGTTTTACTGGAATCGAGGCATTCCATCTTAGTCCTCAGGGGCGACAACGCATCTGCGTTTTGATTCTCAATCGAGGTTAAATGAACTTACCATCAGGTGGACTGTGGGCTTGTTTGTCACCCTTATTTTATAAAAAATATATAAAATATTACATAAATTAAATTAACCTTTATTAACCCTTACATTTTCCTAACAAATGAACTTCCTCACCATGTAATTTGTTAAATATTTCAAATCGTTCATAAATGGCGCCACCCTGGTGGCTAAAAAAGACGTCATTGAAGTTAGAACTTACTTTAGCTAGATAACTGAGCGCTTGCAAACGTACATGCGTGCGTTTTTTATAGGATAGGGTGACAAGCGAGCACACAGTCCACCTGATGGTATGTGGTTGCTGTGGCTCGTAGACATCTACATCTATCCTCGATTACGAATCAAAATGCAGATGCGATCCAACTTAGTCCTCACGGATGACCCGTGAGAAATGCCTCGTTTCCAGTAAAAAGAGTTTCCGATTCTCTACACTCACCATTCGAAACACGGCAGCATTAAACTACTATTTTACTCTGGTATTCTATGAGAGCGTGTTCCTTCCCCGGTCGAGCCGAACCATTCATGCTACAACTATACTTTTAATATAACTGCAGCATGGCTCTACAATGTATAATTTTTTTTATATTACAACTGCGTGTTCTTAGAAATATAGAAAATATTCTGAAGGTTAATTTTTTAGGGTATTTACAACTTTAATTAAATTTGACACTGGATTTCCTGTTAACCTCATATATTTTTATGTATCATTACAGTTCTCATTTGCCTGCTGCTCTGTTTGGTGTACCTAAGCATGGTTGTTGCTGAGATCCCCTGTGTATGCCCTTATAACTATCTACCAGTGTGCGGATCTGATGGCAACACCTACGGGAATGAAAAATGCATGAAGTGTGCCAACCCTGAACTGAGGGTCGTTAAGCATGGACCCTGTTGAAAAACTACGAAATATTATGAATTACCTGTTGTTATGATTATGATATACTCCCATATTATTTAAATGTTAATTGTGTCTATGAATTTTGATATTTTATATATATATTATGTAATTTTTATATAAATTTATTGAAAGGCATAATTTTATGATTATCTACACGTTTTGTCCCAACCTCTTTAGTTATAAAAGAAACCAGATATTTACAAAAATATAAAGCATAGCAAAACCGGATGAAATAAAAATATCAGTTTAAGAAAATATCTCTATTAATTCATTGATACTTTCTGGTATTGACTGATCGTGGCCTCAACAGATAAAGTACCTAACAATTTGAAAATAATTTGATCTACATCAAAGAGAAAACCAATCACTACGCTTTAATTTACGCATTATTAAGAATAATAAAAACCAGCGAGCAATAGCTAAAAAGATTTCTAAAAAAAATTAAACTGACCTTAGGCTAATAATAGACAAGTGTAAATAAATAAAAAAGAAAAATAATCTATTTAGATAGTGTAGTACCTGGATGACCGAGCTTTGCTCGGTATTTTTTTGGAAATCGTGTGTTTTGGAAATTATATTTAGATACAAAATGAAAAAAAAAAAAAAAATAAAAAAAAAAAAATAAAAAAAAAAAAGAAAAAAAAAAAAAACCAATATTGTATACCCTGAACAAAAAGGAAATGAAAAACAAAAAATTTATAAAAAAAAAAGAAAAGGGGAAATGTTAACCAAAAAATTGTTCGTTTAAAATTATTAGATTCGATCTCATTCTCTCTCACGCTAAATCCTATCCGCTTTTTCCTTTCATCGGGTTTCAAATCACAATGATTCAAAAGCGTTCACTTCAAAAATATAAATGTTCGTTTGCTTAAAATCTTACATCTCCGCTGAATATCTCCGAAAGTTCTTCGTAAAACGTAGTGATTGTGTACTCTGTATCCTATACCTTTAAACGAGCAATTCTTGTATATATATATACCCTCCTATATATATAATCGGAATCTCGGAAACGGCTCCAACGATTTTCATAAAATTTTGTATCCAGAGAGTTTCGGGGGCAATAAATCGATCTAGCTGGGATTTATTTTTAGAAAATGTCCCTTTGTCCGTGTTTTCAGGCAATAAAAAAAATGATACAATATCGTTAGAATAAGAAGGTAAATTTTGACAGTTTATTAATGATTACAAATAGCTTAATTGGTATATTGGGCGGTCACAAAATCGTAATACCATGGTTCGAACCCAGACCGACTTTTTTTAATTTTTTTTCAAGTTCCTTTCCTTTTTGAGAAAATCTATTTTTTCGAGCCCTTTTTTTAGTATTTTTTAAAAACATGAAAATTTTAATTAAACTAATTGCACTCATGATTTTTTATTCAAATAACCAGTTCAGTTCTTTCTATTATATCGCTAAGATCAAAAAGTATTATTCGTATTTCATCAGTATGTAATTTGTATCTAAATATAATTTCCAAAACACACGAATTAAAAAAAAAAAAACAAGCGAAAAATACCGAGCAAAGCTCGGTCAACCGGGTACTATTGTGATTTCTTATATTTACGCGAACACATGATTAAAACAACTTTTACGGATTTTATCGCGTTTATTTTTACTTTTTATTTGCTTTTTTCCCGACGTGACGGACCCAACCATTACATCAGATTTGATAGACCACAAATCCTCGCGAAAGAACACCGATTCCTACCAAGGATGATACGTGAGGCTATTGAAATTAAAAAACATCCTAATTTCAATAGAGAAGGAGGCTGGGTACTACCACCTGCTTGGGATCCT